ATGGTAGGTTGTCTCTTATTATATCTCACTTTTTTTTCACCCTGAGCTCGTATGATGGGATGAAATTGAATTTCCTTAATGTCTACCGTTTGCCTATCATGGTAGTTCACCTCTGGAGGGAAAGGGTGGCAAGGGGAGGTGGCACAGTGCGATGAGCTGAAGAGGATCCAAATCCCCCCAGTCTGCATTGCAGCAGCCGTGCAGCAAGCTGTCTGGAAGATTCTAAAGTCCTGCATACAGAGTCTCGAAGAGGATCTAAACCATCTGAGGCAGCTGACAGTGTGCAAAAAAATCCCACAGTCTGCAGACTCTGAGCAGTTCCTGCCTGCAAAAAACATTAATGATTCTCACCAAAAAAAAGAAAACGAAAAAGAGAGGGAAAATTAATGTAGAGGTCAGAAAAGGATCGGAGAATTATAATACTGGTTCTCATAAAACTTGGCCAGAATCTGCAAAGGCCGAAAGAAAAACTGACAGGGCTTTGATTTTTTTTTTTTTTTTTTTTTTTAATTTGGACCATTTTTCGATTTATGCGTGTCATCCTTGCGCAGGGGCCATGCTAATCTTCTCTGTATCGTTCCAATTTTAACGGATGTCCCGAAGGACTGACTGCCTGACAGGGCTTTGAAATTTGAATTTCATTCACTGACAGAAAACAACCCTGGAGGCTTCAGAATCTGGTGCTTGGCCTGGATCTCAATGATCTTCTTCCCATTTGACTTCATTCTGCAGCTCATTTCTGTTCGCAGGGTAGGGGTGCTCTTGCGGACTACCTTCTCCCCATCTGAGACTGACTCTCGTGGCTGCCCAGTAACCTCCTCTTCACGGAGAAGAATTTCACAACCCCTGGCATGATGGTGTCGCCAAGTTTAGACGCTCCAACTGACTTCGGACATGTCAGCCGCATTCAAAAAGAATCCGTCACTGCACATTAACCGGCACACCACTGCTGCAGCCATGCGTGATATGGCAGCACATGGAATTGCAGAAATCAAAATGATTATGTTATGATAATCCCAATCATTATGTCGGTGCTGGTGCCAACCTCTCTATTACACAACTGGGGCCAGATTCACACACTGTCAGCTCTCCAGCTGGCAGCAGCAAGCCCGGCAGAATGATGCCGTCTCCTCATCAATGTTGGATTGCTGGGACAGGAGACCAACCATCGTGATGTGTTTCCCATCGCCTTGCCATGTTCCGGAAGGCGGGGTGCAGTAGCCATCAGACAACATCATCCCTACTCCCAAAATATGCCCTCAGCTGCAGTCTGAGAGAATCTGTCTGCATATTAGGTAATATGATTCTCACAAATAGAAACATGAAAATGCACCTCTTTCCATGTCCCCCATCTAGTACCCTCTCCTGGGAAAAAAGAAAAACAACCTGGCTGCATAAAAGCTAAAAAATATTTCAAAATCATGCCTACTAGTTGGAAAGATGCCAACTGCTCTCTGCTCTTCGTTCTGTTCTCCGCTTGCCAGAGATAAGCACCCGGACTGCAGGCTGAGCCCCCCAGAACAGAACCGACACATGCCCGTCATTAAAAAAAAAAAAAAAAAGTTACCCACTGCTGATGGTCAGGAACAAACAGTTACTGCAGTGCGTCCTTCAGGACATCCATTAAAATTGGATTGATACAGAGAAAGAAGATTAGCATGGCTCTTGTGCTTTCAAGGATGACACTCATAAATCGAGAAATGGTCGAAAGAAAAAAAAAAAGAAAAAAAAAAAGGAACAAACTGCAGTGTCAAATGCTAAAGCTCAGGAACAAACTGCAGTGCCACATTTCTTATAGAAAGCCAGCCGCCTCCAGATATTCCATCACACCTGGTCTCATCATATTGGACGGCCTCAGACCGAATCTTTGTGCAAGCCCTAACCAGACCCTGAGACCAGACCCTGAGGATGTAGTACCTTCATTGCAGCCTCTCAAAGACCACAAGACATCAGATCAGATCAGAGCCTTCAAACATGTGTATGGGGGCTGGCCATTCTGTCAATGCATCATTCCCTCACCACAGCAGTCGTGAAGTCATGGTCCGCACAGGGAACCGAAGAGCACCTGAGAAGGGTCTCCCTGAAGCAAGACTTGGTGGCCATTATGCCTGCCTGCTGACTTAAATTTGCGTAAGGAGAGCCTGCCCCGCTGTCTGCGTGGCCCATTGCCTTCTCTATCCATCTTCAGCTGCTGCAGCAAGCTCTACTTTTCCCGCAATTCTGTCCAATGTAGCTACAATACCAACGCCGGCTGTCGCCATGTCCGGTCGATTCCCTTTGTCCAGGCTCGTGCAGTGCAGCCCCAAGCCTGCCACCTCCCGAGCCAGACCGACATCCCAACAGCCTGCGTTTGGATCAAGAGCATTTTCAATTGCTGCACCGTCCTCCATGGCATCTTCAACGATTCCCAGTGCATTCCAAAATTTTCCAGTGAGAATTTCCAAAAGTGTGACGCCCAGCGCATAGATGTCTGTCTTCTCACTGCAAACCGAAGAACGCAAATATTCTGGTGCCACGTACTGAGAGTTGTTTCCAAGGAAAGCGTGAAAAGAATCTGCTGCGACCTCCCCTCCGCAATGTTGTTGGGACACAAGGACAGCCCAGTCAACCCCGCAAATTTTTGCCACAAAGTTGTGATCGAGAAGTACGTTTGCCGGTTTGATGGCGCCGTGGATGATGCGACGACCATTGTCCAGCCGGTTAGAGTGGAGGAAGCATACTGCCCGAGCGACTTCTGCCATCACACGAAGGCGAACGTACCATGGGAGAAATCCTCTCCTGTGATTGTCCCCACCTGAAATCCACTGCTTCAGACTTCCGTTTGCCATATCCCCCTCGTACACCAAACAATTCTCCTCATAGCAAACTCCCAACAGCCTCAACAAATTGGGATGCTGCAACATTCTCAACCTGTCCACCACCTTGTCCTTGAAGTCCTCATGATCAGTCCCTCGACATGTGCTTGTAACCCTCACCTTCTTCACCATAATAGGCGTACCATCGTGGAGTTTTCCAGAGTAAACAGACTCGCTGTAATCTGCATCACCGCTTCCCAGAGTCATGTTGAAGTCGTTTGTAGCCTCCTTGAGCTCCGCCAGAGAATACACTCGCGTTGCACGCGCAGCAACTTCATTTTTCAGTCGGAGTTTCATTTCACTGATTCTTTCGTTGAAATCTTTGATGAGCGCTACTCTCTCTAGCTCCAGCTCCCGAATCTTTTTCGTGGATGTTTCAAGCTTTTCCACGAGTACTGTCTTCTGTGCAACGAGGTTTTTCACCTCACTGTGCAGGTGTTGGACCTTTTGTGCAAGCTCTGCCCTCTCGGCCTCCAGCTCTTCGTTCCTCCTTTCTGCATTTGCAAGCCTCTCTCCCATCACTGTGCTCTTCGACTTGAGCGCTCTTACCTCATCCTCTAATTGCTTCGCCCGACTTGCTTGCATTCTCTCTTTCTCTTGGTGATCTGCTCTCACTTTGTCAAGTTCGTTCATATGTTTCAGTATCATCTCCCCCAACTCTTCCTCTTTTTTCCTGGCTAGCTCAAGTTTGATGCGAGTCACCTCTTCGCTTTCCAACTCAATCTTCTTCTCCTTCTTCAGTTCTTGTGTCCGAACGTGTTTTTTTTCTGTTGTGTTGATCTCAAGAACCTGGAACTGTCCTTCAGCTCCAAGCACAAGCTTGTTAGAGTTTTTGCAAGCAGCCATGCTCGTCAGATTTGTGACTCCAAGCGGAAACGATAACACCAGCTCATAGTTTGACTGTCTCCAAACTCTAATTTCTCCATCAGATGACGCACTGAAGATGTAGGGCAAGTGCGGATGGAAAAATGCAGACATCACATAATTCTTGTGTCCTTCCAGTTTGGCTACGCAAACTCCTCTCTTGTAGTCCCAGACCCTTACTAGGTCATCACCATAGCCCGCGATCAGAAGCGACTTCTCTTGACCACTACTAAACTCCATGCTAATGGTCCACGCCATTTCTTCAGTATCTCCCAGTGTTTGGGAAGGGAAGACGCTATTTTCCGTATCCTAAATTTTGATTTCGCCATCATATGAGCCACTTGCAAATATACGTGACTCCGATGGATGAAAAACCAAAGTACTCACATAATCAGAATGATCTTGGAATGTAGCTTTCATTTGCCAATTCCTGGTCCAGTGACCCCAGTCCCACAAAAAAATGTCTTTCGAGAAACCGGTAAGTACATAAGGTAAGCTATGATGGACTGCCAGTACCCATGCATAATCTCCATCTGCAGTCCATCTCCATGCATCATCTTCGTAAGGAGGCTTCAGCTCAATGATATGTTGCAAGCCTGAAGCTTGGATTTCGTACACATCAAAGGCTTCGAATCGTCTCACCACAATCCAGTCTTTCTGTGGAATGAATTTTGCGCATTCACCTTCCCACACATCACTAGGCGTTACCCAAGCTGCAACCCGTGTGCCATCCTCGTAGTTCCACACTTGAACTAACTTGCTTGGGTGGCCGAAGGGTATGATCAGAACCCACGGCTTACGAGGATGGAAATCGATCCACACGTCATTTCTAAAATCGCCCTCCAAATTCTGCGACCCTGCCTCCTCAAATTTCGTGACAAGTGAGACTTCACAGTCTGGTTCTGGATCGGCCATGTTTGCCTTGGAGGATGCTTACTATAATAAGTAAAGTGAACAAAAAAAAGATAGATTCTTTTTTTTGTAGGCTAATGCAACAAAATGCTAGGAATGAAAAAATAATGACCTATTTCAACATAATTCATCAATGTTTCTTCCGACGCAAAGGAAGCTGCACCTGAATTTACGTGGCGTGGCACATGTATTTATGGTTGTTACCACAATTCTAATTGCATTGCATTAATTGAATGAAACCATCCGGTTCATCAGTTCACTGTTCAAAATGAATGAATTCGTAGCTTGCCCCGCCAACAAAGGATGATTTACGTCGTAACTTTTGCAAAAAGAAAGAAAACCATCAGGAACTTGAAGGATGATGCGGTCACAGCACCGTAATAATTGTGCGCTCTGGCCGTCTGCCCAGTGCATGCTTTCCAAGAGAGTTGCCCCCCAAAACTGACTGGTGTTTTAAGAACACAAGGCACAGGAGCAAGGCACGAGTGCCCTTAGGCTGTCAGAAACGTGAAGGCATCACACCTATAATATAAGAGAACCCTTTTTTTCTTGAACCCTTTGGAAGTCCTTTGGAAGGAGATCACGAAGGGGGAAAAAAAAAAAAAAAAAGCAACGTATAGAAGCTATGTGGAATGGATGAATTGATGGAAACCAATTTATGTGCCAACCGTACTTTGAAATTGACATCGAGCTTGGTTCGTTCCTCCCTTTTTCCTCCATTTCCAAAAATAAACTATTTCGGACAGTTAATATAATGAGGAGTAGGCCAAGGAAACAGAGGTTTGGCAACGCTTCCCTCAGTCTGCACGACAATCCAAAGGAAAACCAACGGCCTAGTTCAGCTGGTACACCCATGAACTGTTTTTTTTTTTCCTCCACCCACGGATGACCTGTTGAAATTTACACGCCTGAGATCCAATCCAGATGGATATGGAGGTACGAAGCAAAATTCATGAAGACCTAAAAAAAAAAAGAAGGAAAATTTAAAAAATCCAAAAAATTCAAAAATGTATAATACTGATTAATTTCGTGTACAACTTGCAATGATTGAAAGGGAAGAAAGGAAATAAATTGTGCGGGGCGCAAGACAGAGCAAAGCATGAGAACGGAAAAAGAGAAAGATACATCATGGAAATCCACTTCGTTACGCACACCAAATATAATAATATGTCGAAAGTACGAAAACAGCTTAATATAGAAGATCAAACATGAAGAGCACCCACGCAGCAAAACCCCTCGATGCGTCTCGTCTGCCCCGCGTGCAGACTCTTCAGGAGGACAGATCTGAGAAAGCTGTCATCGCAATCATCACTCCTCCACAACAGGGGCCATATTAAATGCCTTGCCCCATATTTATACTCATCCTGCACATTGTGAAGCCTGAACCTAACGACGACCACATGAGCATCACCATCAAAAATCCACGGCTCAACCCACGAGGTAGCCATTAGTATGTGCGCCCAGATCGACGGCCAACAGAAACGAACTGTGGTCATGGTACGGCATTGAGCAATCCTCTGAACGAGCCGATGCACCCGCTCAATCACAACAAAGCAAACACACTAACCACCACAAGGAAGCACACAACGAACACAGTCGCCTTTCGCTGGAGCTGCAGAGGCATGCCACCCAGGGGTGGATGAAGGAGAATAATGTTTTATTTTTTTGAAGTACAAAAAAAAAAAAAAAGGCAACAAACCTGATAAAAGGCTACTGCCAATGGGCCTACCTCAGTTGGTACACCCCTTAGCGACTGAAATATGGGTGACCCGTCTTCGGATCCACATGCAGCCGGATCAACAGAATATAACATAGTACTCTTCTTAGACTACCCGCGGCTGGTCAGTTAAGCGACCAGTACTTGGCCCATACATTGGCCGCAGGAGAGAATAGAGTAGCAGCTGGTCTGTGGGAAGATGCATTTGTTGTTTTTCCGTTTCGACAGTCACTGTGGTGTGGCGACCCCCAGAGAGGGTTGATGGTGTGGCTGGCCATAAAGCCTCGAAACTCCCTCCCACTTTTTTGCAATGGGTGATAAATGCACCAGGCCATCCAGGCAGCTGTCCACGCTCGTTTCACTACATCGTGAAGTCCCTTCACGTGGGCATACTTTATTTCCGCAATTTACCTGTTCAAAACTATCGGACAAATCTTTATGCAGCATTCGCTTTTTTAACCAAAAAAAAAAGAAAAAAAAAAGAGCTACAGCCATGAGATATCATCATTTGACCTGAACGGCCCCAGGTGATTCAGAATTGGAGTATTTTATTTTACTCTTCTGCTCTCACTGGAGTTCGAACTCAGGTCTGTGTTTCAACAGTTCAGTGATGTACCAACTGAGCTAGAGGCCAAGAGCAGTTGGTAGCAGCATTTGTTTCATTTTTTGAAAATTTTAAATTTTTCTCATTTATTTTGTCTTTTCTACCCACAATTATAACTGTGTAAGGGGGACCATGCCCCAGTTCTGGAAAAAAAGTCCATTAACGAACTTTATAGTCGGACTCCTTCCTTTTCGGGGACAAGTGCTACTCAGTCAAGATCCACGCAAACAGAACTCTTGCAAGAGGAAGTTTCCAAGGCTGCAATGGACATTCCAGGCCAACAGAAAAGTCCAGACGAGCTAAAGGAGAAAAAGGCCCAGGTACGCTGAATCTAGGGCCCTGGTCAGTTCCATGGGGATGGGCATGGCAACACCGCCCATGAAACAAAAGATAAGGACACAACTGTCTGTGTTCACAAACTAATGTATTTTCCACTCTTCTGTACGAAGATGCACTCTTTTTTTTCGTCTCTTCTCTGGGACAGATACGTTGAAAAGAAATCCGAAATCCCGGTGTGAGTATGGACCAAGGAGCTGTAAGATGCAAATGTTCCCCCCCCGTGCGTGCACGTGCACGAGAGAGAGAGAGAGAGAGAGAGAGAGAGAGAGAGAGAGAGAGAGAGAGAGAGAGAGAGAGAGAGAGAGAGAGAGAGA